CAACAAGTGCTCGGAAGAGGAGGCGAACCGCGGTTAAAAGTGAGAAAGGAGGGTGGCAGAAACAAGAGTCGGAGGGTGGCGAAGCGACGAACTTGACACGAAAGCGACCGAACCACGCGAATGTACCCTAATGTGACGAAAGGTCTCTCGGAATATCCGTAACAGGCACACCGACGAAGTGCGTCCGATTAAATCTTACACGCGGCAATGAATCTGATCGCGGCATTAGTTGTTCGTACAATCAATCAATAAATTATGTCTGCAAAGTTTTACCGTATTGTGATTTATTTCTTTATATCATTATATTTTCAGCTCGCGGTATGTACAATTAAATTAAATAATGAGTTAAACTTTTTAAGGTACATCACTATAGGTACACACATTCGGCATACCTAGATCTTTTATCAGATATCACTAATGCAATATTCAAAATAAAAGGTAAAGTTAAAAAATTTTATTTTTTATAAATAAGTGTGTGTGTGTGTGTGTGTGTTATAATTTTAAAGATGATTTTATTTCATTGGTGATATCGCTTTAATTAAAATGAGAGTAAACATAATAAATTGTTATAAAATGTTAAAATAAAATTTTTTAATATCTTTTTTATTTTTTATGCTTCTCACTGATTCTTATTTTTATAAATTTTTTGATACTTTTTTCTTTAAAATTTCCGCAGCTAAAATTTTACCACTCAAATAATAAGCTGTCATTGCTTCACATCAATATAGTCATTTTTAGTTATTGACAGTATGTTACTTATTTATTTAAGTTGTAATAATGACATCACCTTCTTGACCAATTAATGACTTATTTATTTACCTATTCTATGATGTGTATACAATGTCATATTCTTATTAACTCGGATAGGTGACCAATTGACGATGAACTATTAATGTTATTAGTGAACAATTAATTACATAAAAATAATAACACATTGTCAGTTTATGATGTTTATATGTATACTTATGTTATGTGGCTGCAAAAAATCAATATCCTTTTTAAGATATTTGAACATCATCTTAAATATTTAAACATCAGATTCGTCAGATTATCGGAATGATTAATTAATTTTCTCCAATAAACGATATTTTGCTATCTATAGACAGAATATCACGAGCCGTTACGGCATGTCGATTGAAAAACTCTGCTCTATATGGATCTTATTGTAAATCTATTTTATTAAAGCGATAGAGAAGAGATATAAGAAATTTTAATTGCCAAGCTATAACTTAAAAGAGAACTGTTAGAATTTAAATTATTCATTTTTAAGGATTCTAATCTTATAACAGTTATGTTCGGACTGAACATTAAAAAAATAATAGATTTCTAAACTATAAACTTTCTTTAATGTCAAAAATTCTTGGCTTGTGCTTGTAATAAAAGCGGAATGCTGTGGGCAATAATAATGTGTCATACATACAGGAGGCAGTCTTTATTAAATGCATAGGCTAACTAGCTTGGCCATATAATAAAACATTCCTTTTCACATGACTTAACACTACGACGATCGTAGACAGTTGCACAGAGAATTTTATATCAATCTATATACTCACTCTACCGCGGGACGTCCCTTTCAATTGAGTTTTAATGAAACGTCGATTTTGCTAAGCGACAAAATTTAACTACTTTCCTTTTTCATGAAAGAAAAAAAATCAAGATTTTAAAACAAATTATCAGATTTTTAAACTTATTCTATTTTATTTTACATATGTATACAACTATACACAATAGCAAGCAAAAAAAAAATGCGAAAAATTGAATGCTTTGTCATATCTATTTCTTTTTAAATATATCGGTGCTATTTTTAAATAAATTATTTATAATACAACACTTAATCTACGTATATTGGAAAGTCTTGATAGCATAATAGATTGAAAAAAATTATTATGAAAACTAATTTTTTAAAAATAATTTATTAATATTCTTTTCTTTATGTGGTCTATACATAAATTTAAATCAAATAAAAAATTAATATATATATAATATAAATATTTTTAATACTTAAAATTACTTAGGCTGCGATCAGTCCTTTGTGATTATAACATTACATACATCTATACGGCACTACACTGTCAATCGTTTGTATCTATCATTTTTCCTTTATTTTTTCTTTTTTCTTTCTTTTTCTCACATTATAGATAGTATCTAACTTTATATATTCAAAATTTTGTTTCAAAATATTTCTTATTTATACGTTCAATTCATTACCCATAACGTGCTATCGTAGAAATGTATAAAATCTATATTTAAGTATAAGAGAGCAAAAAGGCTTCAAGAAACAAATCATCTATTCAAAGTATGTCAGTGCGTGTTTAAACGTAACAACGTAATTTTGTCAAATTGCGCAGTTTCCCTTTCACACACACACATGTCCCTTCACCAAATTCCATTCCAAACTCAGTATCACGAAATTCGTGCAGGGCAAATGAATGGGCGGCCGATAGGTATGGGAAACGCTAACTTTCGTGCGGCGATCTCGTGCTTGCGTAAAAACTAACCTACTGATATGTCAAATCGAATTACCTTATATTTACGACGATTAAAAACTTCAAACATATCTTCACATCGCTCGTTGAATTATAATGATATATTTAAAATTGTGTTATGTTTGAGAAAATATAGATAAAATTGTAGATAAAATTAAATAAAGCTCATGAGAAGGTTATTACATTTCTATCAAATTTCTTACTTCAGTACATCTCCAAAAATGTAATAAGTAATTGCATTTGTATCGAATTTGTATTCTTGATTTTATTTCTGACATTTGAAATAATAATATGTATCTTTTAGTGACGCGCGGAAACGAGTCATAAAGATTGTCTGCATGTACATGTTTATTACATTTGTGACTCTACTATCATGGATTTTGGAAATATTAAAAATGAATATTCATCTTCGAATCTCTTCAATTTCGTACGTATGTAAGTTTATCAATGTTTTAATTAATCGTAAATACTAACTGTTAAAGATTGATAATCTAAAAAAATTAGATAAAAGTTCAAAGATCATGTTTATTATATGTATATAAAATATATATTATATTAAATATATAAATATAAATATATATATATATATCACATAAATGAAAAGGTCATAACGCTATTTATTCAGAAATCCAACAATTTTTGAGGATCTAATAAAGATCTCGATATTTAAAAATTTACGTGTTTGCAAATAATACGCGCAGATATAAATGTCTGAAACATCGTGCAATATATCTATTATTGATACTGGATTAATTTTGTAGATGTCATCTACTATACATTTACATTAATTCTCGATCCAAAAATCTGAAAACCTGAAACCGTAACGTTTTGTGCACTTAGTACTTTAATCTTCTAAAACCTGTGTGTCACACTACACATGAGAGATTACGAATTTCGAATTGACGATTAGAATTCTATTAGTCAAGTAATTTTAAAATTTCACTTTGTTTTAATTGGTTAAATTCTAATTTCCATTTCGCAATTTTCAATCTTCTAAAACCTGTGTGTCACACTACACATGAGAGATTACGAATTTCGAATTGACGATTAGAATTCTATTAGTCAAGTAATTTTAAAATTTCACTTTGTTTTAATTGGTTAAATTCTAATTTCCATTTCGCAATTTTCAATCTTCTATGCATAGTGACTTGTACTTAAGACCATACAAATTTCGAGATTCAAACAATTGTAATGCATTCCTGCGAGTAATTAATTATGAACGTTGTATTCACGTTATGCTGCAGATGGGAGAACGGAATCTCTCAAGACACGCAGCATCGACAGCGTAAATCACCGCATAAGAGACTCAAAGTAACTCGAACGTCGGCATCGCTTGTGATCGACCAGCTGAAGAGTATCTTGTGGTGTCCTGGCAATTTTCTGTCATACATACGAACGCGTCGAAACTGGCGTCCGAAATTTTTGATGAGATATCTTCGCGATAATCGATGTAGTTGTATCGACAAATGCGACACGGTATTACGACACGATAAAAGAAGATTGGTCCCGGAAGTCCCAAAGATCTATTCTATCGGTTTGCATTGTGGCGCGAGAAATTTGAACGAAAACGATTATCTCTCAAGCTCGTGTGGTATAAGGAACTTAAAGAAACGTTTCAATATTGTTCGCAGGTAGTAACATTTCTTGATGAATTTCAAGTCAACGTGACACTTGAAAATAGAACAAATGAAACATTTTCAAATATAGTTAGATTTAAGTACACCGCCGGCTAAAAGTTTGAAATCCATTAATTGTCCACTATATGAAATAAAATAAAACGCATTATAATTGAATATATTTTTATTATTTTACCTATTATTTTATTATGAATGAGAAATAATATAAAACGATAATTTAAAAGATCTATTTGTTGTAAAAAAATTTTTATTAAGAAAAGTTTTTTTTAAAGAATATTAAGTTTTTTTTACCTTTTTGTTAAAATAGCTATCACCTTTTTACTAATTTAAATATAAATATCTAGCTGCAAGTTAAAATTAATTAATTTTAGTTTACTTTTCCAACCATCTTCTAAAATAGTCCATAGGCCAGTTTTGGAAGAAAAGATTTTATGATCGTAGTTCATTTTCTCGAAATTAAACATATTGCTTATTTACTTTTAAATTAAGAAAAGAGTGAAGCACGAATTAAACTTTTAAATAGTATTTTACTAAAATATTCTTAAATTTTACATCATGTAATTTCAAACTTTTTCCCGACAACGTATGTATGTATATTTGGAGTGTTTCAAGAGAAAACATTGATTTTATACATATTTTAAACGTTGCAAAACATAGCTGTTATTGTATGAGTTAAATCTAAAAGTAATCCTATTACCTAAAAAGATTTTGACTTATATTATATTATAAACTTCATAATTTTACGTTAAACTTCATTATTTTAATATCACATTGGGAAATGAAAGAATCATATTTTTGCAATAATTTCAGACCAATGATCATATGCAAATATTGTATCACACAATCAGCTCCAACGTTAAACTTATCAACAGATACAATGTTTCTTAAAGTGCATACAGATCGCCAGGCAATGCCAATTGATTGTACAGAATCGATGGAGATCACCCATAAATATGATACATATAAAACTCAAGAGAATAATCATAATTCTCATCATAGTCAATTACATAAACATGTTGAAGAGAACAAAAATACATCAGACATTTTGCGAAATGATCGTGCCGTTGACGATCACTCCTTTATAGCTGATGGTTTTAAGGACCCTCCTGTGAGAAAAGATCACAAGTGTGATAGTTCTCGTATGACTAGAGACGCGCAAATTCAAACCTCGAACAAAAAGAATTTGCGACGAAGAAAAATTAAGAGAAAATTGAAGCCGACCACCGAAAGAATCTCTCATCGCAATCATTGCGATAACGAACCGCAAATTGTCGCGAATTTTCACGATAGTTTACATAGTTCAAGCAGAGAGGGCTATCACCACGAACCATGGCTTCGCGTTCGGGCTCTGGAGAACAAACGCGCCGAGTATATCAATAAATTCACGGCCGTGAATAGGCAGATAGAGGAGATAACGGCAACGCTACGGGAAACCTGCTGCAGTGGCGAGAGTCCGCGAAGTAATCTGGAGAACCGTGATGAATACTTTTCATCAATATCCGACGACACGAAAGTAAATTGGGGTGGCGTCGAAAACAAGTCGACGATTGCGAGAGAAAAAAATACGTCGAAAGAAAAAAATGGTCTGGTAAACGTTAAAAAGATCGTCGGAGAATTGAAAAGTGACACAAGTAAAAATGCGTCCGAGGTTTTGCACGTAGATAGCCGCAATAATGAAACGGTCTTCTCTGCAAAGGATAGTGTTTCTTTCTCGAGAAATCCAAACGATTCTTTCGAACGTGACATTGTACCAGCAACGGAGACAGTTTATTTTTCAAATAGAATTTCTATACAGTAAAAAAATATTTGTGTTAAAACCGGTCCTTGCTAAAATTTTGGTGTTGAACTTTTAACATATCCGATTAATTGCACATAATATGATTAATTATTTGAACATTTTGTATCAAATTAATATTTAAAACCTTTTAGTATTAAAAACAACACAATATTTGTAAGAATGAATGAACAAATAACAAAAATAATGTAGCTTTAAAACGTAAATTCTTAGATATATGGATATATAATGAATGTATGTGTTAATTTGACATATTGTAATAAATGTTAATTTTACTGAAGAAGTATGCTTCTACAATTTGTTTCTAAATCAAAATGTTATGTTTTTTATATTAATTTTTATATAATTATTATAATTTTTATACAATGTTACGTGCTAGCACATTTCATCTTTCGTTAAATTAACACAAAATTTTGGGTGGACAATTTGGGACGAATAAATGTGTTAAATTTAACATAAATTTTTTAATTGTACAGGAACAAGACGAAGACGAAATGTCATTTTAACAAACAACTGTCACTCGATCTAGATGTTATAAACAACGAGAACGATGAGCTTCAGGAATTGTCTATTAAAAATGAATTCCTTGATAAAGTTTATCCAAAAAATAATTTTACAATCTTAAATAATGACACGCACAAGAGAGATTTAGCTGAAAATCCTGCCGCTTTGAAAAAATCGAGATATTACATGAAGACCATTGAGGAGAAGGTAGGCGACGTAGCTATCCTGGAGGACATTAAGAGAAGGATCGACAGAGACTTCGATGATCCACCAGGCGAGAGGAGCGAAAACGACACGGAGGAGTTTATCACCGTTTCTCAGAGAAACAGTAATCTTGATCATCACGTCATCGGTGTGTCCTCAATGACGATAATTGAGAAATCCAAATCCACGCCGTTGATCGTCGCGACGAATCTCGAGCCGACAGAGACACAAATTCACGGCTCGATGTCAGTTGATGCTATAAGCGAGTGCTCGAACAAGAATTCTGCCCTTTCCAAGTACTTCTCCTGCACGCAAATTCCGAGCCAGGTGTCGTTAATGGAGAACAAGGACGAGCTCGCTGTCAAGGCTGTGGATTGTAGCGTGATTGAATCGTATTCAAATCTACATTCGAATTACCATTATTACGATTCGCGTTCGAACTTCAGTCTGAATAATTATTCGCTTTCGAACTTAGACCCCAGTCTCGATTGTTCGCTTTCCAGCTTCGACTATATCTCGCGTTACGATTCATCCGTGCAGTACGCCACTCCAAATAAATCTTTAATTGATATGGTAAACAAGTCGAACGACACAATTGAGATATCCGAAGATCGCGAAGATGTCGCGAAGAATAGAATTTGTAATTGGGAACATCTTCCTTTTCAGGAGAATGGAGAGAAAGAATGGCGAGCTGGGAAACGGTATACGGCCGATTCCACGTTTGAGACGTCGAAGTCGTCGAGATACATCGGTTCGATAGACTCGGGCGTATTCAGCTCATCTTTAATCGATCTTTATCCCGCCGAGAGGTCCTTTCATGCCGGCAAATCGACATTTGAAAAGAAACGCCGCGATGGGAAACTCGATAGAGCATCGACTGCCGTTGATTCCGGCTCGGATAGTAGTTATACCAACGACACGCTCGATCGGAAGGTGAATGACGTCGTGAGAGACCTTACGAAGAATTTGATACTTTGCGAGAGGAGGGCGAAAATAAAACTGAGAGCGAGAAACACGCGTTACGTATGTATGCCCATAGAAATCTTGTTTTACTGTAATTTTGTTGTAATCACTGGTTTTCTAACGATCCAAATTTTCGTCATATTAGTAGACAATTGTATATTTTGCAATTTATTGGCTACTAAAGATCACATTTATACTATATCCATTTTTGTTGTAATTAATTGAAATAGCTATACATATTATTTACCTAATTATCTAATTTTCAGACGTTTTATATACATTATACATATATTATAATATACAGAGTAAGCCTTTTTAATCTTTCTACGCTGATAACTCGAAAAGGAAACATAAAAAAAACACAAGATAGAAAAGTTGTGTGATTTTGAAAGGGAAAGAAGTTAATGACTTTAAATTTGACCTTGAAAATACATTTCAAGGTCATTTGAAGGTCAACTTTGAAATTTCATATATGGAATCCTCCTTTTTCATTACATATTCTTATAGTACACCTCGAGAGCTTTCCAAAACATTATAATTAAGTTTATTTTTATCGAGTATTTTTCAAGTTGTAAGGTTGAAAGCTGTACCATCACCGGCATTAGCATTATCCATGGTATTTGATCGATGACTAAAACCTTTGGAATGTTGTTCAAAGGGGCACTTTCAGAAGAAATCTTAATTTGAAAGAAATATTTTTTTTTAATTAAGATACTTTTTTTCAGTATATCGTCAAATACGTGCGTTTAATAATATGATCAGGATTTGTAAGTGCGCGTCTTTAATTTAATCTAATTCGCGATAACGTTTCCTCTAGTCTCAAGACGTCCTGTCGCACGCTTACAATTTTAGCAGAAATCTCTACGACACTTGCGGCGACTTCTTCAACTCATCTCTGTCATCCAGCGAAGACGAAAGAATCGTCAGTATCTCCACGCCGTCACTCTTGTCGTTATCGGATTCCGAAATTGAAGATTTTGAATCAAGATGTCAACGTGTCTGTCGTTCAAATTCAATTCAGATATGAACCTGTAATTGACAAAACGACAAAATGACATGTTTATATATATAATTTTATTGTATAATTCTATTTAGTAAACATTGACGTTTGACGTAATTTTAGCTCATTTATCTTTCATAAATAATGATAAGAATAATTATAATTATGCTTATTATTATTGATAATGATAATAATAATATTAATTTTAATTGTTCATAAGCATGAACATTATACAACGACACTTGAAATAAATATTGTTATTCTAGGGAAATAAAAAAAGAGTATATATATAATTAAATATAAATGTATATGTATACTTAATTATATATAAAATATGTTCACATGTAAGTATTTTTTTTTGTACAATCTCTATATAATCTCTGTATAATCTCGACATACATGGAAAAAATAAGAAGGGACGTAATTGAAAAATAATTAGAAAGATAATTTTTGCATTATTTCTCTTTATAAAAAATATTATTCTAATTACATTGTACGATAGCTATGTGTAATTACATATGCAATTTTACACATTATTACACAAACAATTTTTTTCTCAAATTTTACACTTTCCAAAAATTGTTTTTTTTTTTTTTTTAAACAATTCAAAAATTATTTTACTATTATATTTTTCAATTCTTATTATTTCTTCTGCATACAAACAGATTACTATATAATATTATATACAAAAGATAGAAAACATATTATACTTTACGTATATAATTATATTTATATATATTGTGACCGTACTTGTGAGAGACGGCACAATTTCGTCACATCATCCGTTACTCTACGCATGCGATAGCTCCAAAAGATTGACAAAAATAATTTAGTTAGCAAAAGTGCGGTTCTTCCTTAATTTTATGTACTGCGATAGTCGACAGCCGTATGAACTTCGTTGGGCGCCAGGCACGAGAGAGCGTGCCACTCTTCGCACTAATTTTAAGATGACTCGTTCGGACAAAGAAATAATAGAGCACAACACACAAACGGACTTAGCGACGGACGAGATCGGTTAGCTCAGCCAACGGAATTGGCAGAGGGGGTGGTTCGCGGTAAGCGGGAAGAATGTCGGAGAACAAGGTAGAGACAGGCAGAAATAATTGGACCGAAATTAACAGTAATAATAACAAAGAGTTTTCAGTATATTTAACTTGTCGGGCGATACATATGACAAAGTATTTTACAGAGTCGCGCGGTCAAGCTTCGACGGATGATCAACTTTAATACAGCGAAGAACAATGGGCGTCGACAGTGGTCCTTCGGAAGGATTGCATCTCTAATAATTAACTTCTAGAAAATCTCGCCAACTTTTTAATACAATAGCAATAAAATATACGCGAACCGGACAGTCGAGTACGGGACGGCGGCAACACGTCTCGACTTTAATCTTAAACAAACCGGAATCTCAACAAATACAACCAACGATATTGACCAGGCAGTGACATGGGCGAGCAATAACGATAACTCTGAGCACTCTGAGCTCATGAATTCTTACGCCAGAGCGGACGGCACGTGCTCGCCGATAAATACGATGGCGTTACAATTGGCTATATTTTTTATTACAGGATCTTATTCTACGTAAAAAAAAACAAGTAACTTCTGTAGGAAACATTTTTTTGTTCGATCACTATTTTAGGAGATATTTAAGAAAATAGTAAGGCATAGTTACTGTATAAAATTTCATCATTTATTATAAAAAAAATGTTTCTCCGTTGTTTGCTAAACAATAATAAAGGCGATTCTGAAATTTTGAATGAACATTTTGGAAAGTATTTGCTGGCATAGCTCTACATTCCTGTATAATTATTTGACGTAAATCATTGATATTTCCCGGTGGAGTTTTATAAACAACGGATTTTAAGTGTTCCCATAAGAAAAAATCGAGCGGAGTTAGATCAGGAGTTCTTGGTGGCCATTCGATGGCTCCTCTTCTACCAATCCATCTCTACAGGAATCGATTGTTTAGCCACTGTCGAATTGGTAACACATAATGTGGGGGAGCACCATCTTGTTGGAAGTACAAAAGTTCCTCATTTAACAACAATTCGCCATTTTCATTTTGATTTTCAAAAAAGACTTTCAGTTATAAGTGCATCAAGAACGTTGTCTAGTAAATTTAAATAAAGGTTGCCATTCAGTTCGGCTCAAAAACTCCACCGGAAAATATCAATGATTTACGTCAAAGAATTATACAAGAATGTAAAGCTATTCCAGCAAATACTTTCCAAATGTTCATTCAGAGTTCCAGAATCGCCTTTATTATTGTTTAGCAAACAACGGAGAACATTTTGAACATTTGTTATAATAAATGATGATATTTTATACAGTAACTATGCCTTGCTATTTTCTTAAAATATCTCCTAAAATAGTGATCGAACAAAAAAATGTTTCCTACAGAAGTTACTTGTTTTTTTACGTAGAATAAAATCCTGTAATAAAAAATATACATTTCCATTTAAAAAAATTAATTTGACCTTCAAATTACGTTGAAAACGCCCTCCAAATAAAAGTTGAGAATGCCATTCTCTTTCCCCCTTGAAATCATGGAATATGCGTTTTAACTTTTTTTTTATCCTTTATATATTTTTCGACATAATCAGCTGGAAAGTTTTCAAATGAACATACCTGTATATACTTATATTTAATTTATAAACTTTTTTTATACCGCGGATAATTTTTTAATAAAATGCAATAACTTAAATAAACATATCGAACATTAACACAGTTATATATCTTTGTTAATGTATGAATTAACAATAGAATGCGATTCAATCGTATTATTAAAAGATAAATCATTGTTCCTTCGATCGATGTAGCACGATGATAAACTTGTAAGCACGACAATCGGATGCCGGTTCGTCGTGGCTCGTCTCGACGTTCGTCGAGAGCAGTTCGACCACATCATTAGACGATACTGACCGTTTCCGCGTTGCGGTTTCCTTTGAAGGGGATTGGAAACGTGCGCGGCACAACACGGCGAAGACCCGTGCGAGCCACCCGAGCGGAAATGCATAAACGAGCGAATGGAGTCGTTTCTCGCAACCGTCCACACCCGCGACTGTCAGAGAGGTCTTCTCTCATGTAAACGGTCCAGCTGGAAAACGAGAGGAAATGTCCGGATAAACGAGCGTCGCGAGAGAAAGCGGACGCGATCATCAAAAAGGCGCGTCCCGGGACTTTGTCTCGGGACGAGGTCTGCGTTTGATACCTCGGAAATGGGCGATTTTGCATCAGCATGGACAAGCGAGTCTGGCAGTAAAGATACAGTAAGGATATACGGGAGGCGGTGAAAATCTGTGTATCGTTCCATACGTGACACGACTGTGACGGAAAACTTTTAAAATTGCTGCCATTCTCTTTCCTCTCGATCTTCTCTCTGTAGAAAATTCTATAATATTTTAATAACTTGATTTTTTTTATCTTTTTCGGGGGGGGGTGACTCCATTATATTATTTTAACTCATGAGACAAATTTTCGTCTTAATGTTTGGCGCATCAATTTATTCTATATAATATAAATTTTAATCTGTATGAGCTTTATATACTATCATCGATAAAATTTTAATTCTGTGATCTCATTGCTTGATTTGCATTACTTCATTAACTTGTAAAAAGACATAGCTTTAAAAGCTGTTTCACCTGATGCATACTGAGTACGCGGAAATATTGTTATACATATATCGCTGAAGATGGGCTTGAATGAAGCTGAAACATTTTTAATGACTATAATTATAAAGTAAATATAGGGTAAACCCGGTATATACACCTATCGAAAACTTAATTTATCAATTATTATTTACTATGTTTAAAGTAAATTAATTATATAAATAGAATCTTTGTATCATCTACTACTATAAAAAAATATTAGAAATCTAAAATAATTTATTTTCCATATTAAAAAGTAACTTTTTCAAACCCCTGCATTTTTGCCATTTATCCCATAGGGGGGGGGTAATATGGCCACTCATATATAATTCATAAGAAAATCACAAATAATCTATAAATAAGATGTAAAATGACGACGTAACTTGCATTGTTTATTAATATATGACAATTTTTATTGTTCAGAATGAAAAATGGAATACAAATAGGACTTAATACAATTTTAAAAAATAGCTTCAAATCTTTGAAAATAATCTTTAAACGTTTAAGATTTATCAACATTTATGCATTAATGCAAACTGTAATTGTTAGAATTAACAAAAACTTTTAAATAGAGCGTCTGTGCTACGGCACAGCATCCCGCTCGCTAAAAATGCCGTATATCCCAAATAGATGGGATATATATGACAACTAATTAAACAAACAATACAGGAGCAAAGCACTTGTATTTTGCTATACAACATGCTTTACTATTCCTCTACACATATGTATTGCAAAATAACCACTAAGTCTTTTACACGCTCTATAATAATCATTTTATGTAGATTATAAATTATGATGGCATTACTTATTACAGTAAAAAATCGATTTAACTCGCAATAATTTCATTAATATTAACAGTAAAGAACTGAAATCATAACATAATACTAATATACCATAAAGGCATGTAACAAAGTAATTGACGGAAAATTATCCTCACTCCTTCTATTTTTTCTGACTTCTGCGGCGTATTTGCTGACGCGGCATATATACCGGGTTTACCCTATTCTTTACTGAAAATAATTTGTACACCAATTACTGTACCGTTTACATTCTCAGTCGTCATGTTTGTCCCTCATTGATATTTATAATTAGAAACATAACTTAAAATGAAGTTTACGTTTTGCTTATTTCACTAAATTTTTTACGTCACGATATTAAGACATCAGTATGATTATGAAATTTATTATAATATTATTGTTTTACTATATATATTACATTTACACACACGTACGTGCGCGCGAGTGTAGATGATCGCGAGTGAGCGAGCTAATGAATGAGAGAAAGAGAGAGGGTGAGGAAGGGAGTAGGAGGGAGAGAAAGAGTACGGAAACGAAGAGGTGATGTGATTTTATTAATCAATGTCGTCAATCGTAAGATGCT